TTCACCTCGCTGCTACACCCAAGGGAACAGAGCACCCACCTGCGTGTGGGCTTTGGGGTGATACTCTGGATCTTAATTCTAGCGCACACACACCCCCTCCACCCATCAGCCTGGGACTTTAAACAGATAACCCGACTCTCTGTGCCTCAGTTTCCTTATTATAAATGGACATGATAATAGGGTCCTTGTAAGGGTTACCTGATATTTACAGGGATCTGTTGACCACTGATTTTGTGACGGGATCAGTTCGGCTGTGAATGGACTTAGTCCCGGGCCCCCTGTCCTTGACCTTTGGTGCGGGCAGGAGTTCTCACCCTGACCACACACTGGAATCACTGGGAACTGTGAAGGTGACTGATACCCGAGCCCATCTCCAGAGATTCTGAGCTAACTGGCTGCGAGGCCCAGGCAGTGTACATAAAGCCTCCCAGCCAGGGTTGAGAACCACTGGACTAGTAGAAACCATAAAACGATTCGGAATGATGCCTTGCTCCGAAGCCTCCAGTAAATGATGCTGCTCTGTCAACACTCATTCCATCATTTGTTGCCTGAATTATTCCAACAAACTCCTCACTGGCCACCTGCCCCTGGCCCCGCTGCGGGGCCAGATCCATCTTTCTAGGCTCAAAATTAATCCTGTGACTGTCCTTGTCTCCTTGGGTTTGAATCCCCTTGCCCTGTGACCTGAAGTCTTTCACATTGTTGTGCAACCACCACCACCACCACCATCCATCTCCACAACTTTTCATCACCCCAAACTGAACCTCTGTCCCCATTAAAAACTAACCCCCATTCTTCTCTCCCACAGCCCCTGGCAACCATTGTTCTACTTCCTGTCTCTATGTCTTTGACTATTCCAGGTGTCTTAGGTAAGTGGAATCCTAATGTATAAAAAGCCAGGGGCCATCATGACCGAAACAACTGGACGGGTGACTGAACAGCAGGCTGTGTGGGCTGACAAGGCCAGCAGCGGGGTGAGTGAGGGACGACCAAATGACTGAACAGCAGGCTGTGTGGGGCGACCAGGCTGGCAGTGAGGGCAGTGAGGGGTGACCAAATGACTAAATAGTAGGCTGTGTGGGGCAACCAGGCCGGCAAGGGGGTGAGGGACGAACAGATGACTAAACAGCAGGCTGCGTGGGGCGGCCAGGCCAGCAGGGGGGCAGTCAGGGGTGACCAGGCTGGCAGAGGGGGGCAGTTGGGGGCAACTAGGTTGGCAGGGGGGGCAGTTAGGGGTGATCAGGCCGGCAGACAGGTGAGTAGTTAGGAGCTAGTGGTCCTGGGGGGTCCCAGATTGGAGAGGGTGCAGGCTAAGCTGAGGAGACTACCCCCCCCCATGCACGAATTTCATAAACCGGGCCTCTAGTAACATAATATTTATCTTATGCATCTGGCTCATTTTACTTAGCATAATGTCTTCAAGGTTCATCCATGTTGTAACATGTGTCATAATTTTCTTTCTTTTTTAAAATGTGTTTTTATTGATTTCAGAGAGGAAGAGAGAGGGGAGAGAGATAGAAACATCAATGATGAGAGAGAATCATTGATCAGATGCATCCTGCACGCCCCACACTGGGGATCAAGCTTGTAACTAGGCATGTGCCCTGACTGGGAATCGAACTGTGACCTCCTGGCTCATAGGTTGACAGCTTAACCACTGAGCCAGGCTGGCCAGGCATTCTTTTCTTTATTTCTAAGGCTGAGAGATATTCTATTAATTATATAACACATTTTAAAAAAGATTGATTATTTTAGGGAGAGGGAGGGAGAACCAGTAGATGCACGGGACAACGCCTAAGAGCCGAGCCACACTGGCTGGGGCAGTGGTGGTTCTCTTGGCAGGCATCTTGCCCAGCTTGTGGGGTTTCACCCTGTGCCTGCACAGATGATATTCCCCCCAAAGTTCAGGGGGCTCCTCTGCAGCGTTTGAGCGCTTTCTCTGGGTAGGTTCCTCCTCTTAGATAGTCTACCCCACAGATTCTAGCTGCCCCTTTCCTGGCACTGCCTGCAGCCAACGTTCCTATCAGAAAGAAAGAAGCAGACAGAGAGAAATGGTGATAAAACGAGGAAGACTAAGACACACACACACACACACACGGAGTACAGGACTCAAGTTCCTCTATCCAGGCAAAAGTGAGGTCAGCGACACCCACGGGGAGGGCAGCAGGAAGGGGGATGCCAGCCCCCCTTTAAGACAGCCATGGGGGTCCATAAGTCTAGGGACCCCACGTCATCCCCACCGTGGGGGCATCTCACACTGGACTGTCCTGCGACCCTGACAGCCCTGCCTGTGGGCATTGAAATCAGGGATAGAGCTGTGTTAAGCCCCTGGAACCCCATTCCATTCTGGGAGCACTGTCCTGCCCCCTCCAGAGTCACTTACTGGTCACTGGATTCGGAGGGCCAGCTTTGTGCCTCATTCCCAGAGATTGCACTTCCTTGAGAACAGACATCCCGGACCTTTTATGATTGAGTAACGTAAGCCAGCTATTTATTTTATATCATTTTTGGCTTAATTTAGTACTGTCAATTGCTAACTAAACGGACCTGACTAGTACAAGGCATTTTCATATATTTGCTGAATGAGTGGAATTAGCTTGTATACCTGCCTTTTTCGCAATGCAGCTAAGATTGCTTCCTATGAGAGCAGGAAGATAAAATAAAAATAGAAATGGAAACTCAAGAATATGAAAATATAATTTAAAAAAAAGAAAATGCTCTATTAATTCAATATCAAATTTGGCTCCGAGCTTCTTGGCAGCCAAAGCAAAAAATGTGAGACATAGTAACTTAGCTTCCCCTTCCCACCTCCAGAAAAAACAAAGCCTATACTGTATGTTCCTCAAGCGAAAGAAAATTTCCCCTAGACTTTGGCTAATTTTTTCCTAAACTTTTCCTTTTACTCCAAAGGGGAAGTTTCAGACGGGGCTCTGTGAGCAGGTGCTGGGCGATGTGGCGGAGGCACCAGAGTCTGCAAGGAGCCTCGTGTGTTTGATCCTTGGAGTATGGGCCCAGGAACAAGTACATTTGCCAAATTTAGTTGTTAACTGTCGACCTTGCCCTGACCTCTCAGTAGCTCTTATCACAGTTGGCCACTCCCCTGTCTTTGCAACACTGTCTTCACTTGACTGGCAGCCCTCACTCTCCTGGCTCACTTCTTTCCCACCGGCCTCTGTCTGGCCTCCCTGGCTGTGTCTCCCTGACCTCTAAGTGGTGGCAGGCCCAGGCCCAGCCCAGTCTCCAGACCTCTCCCCTTTTTCCCTCTCTCTTCCTATCCTGGCCCAAGTCCTACAGACCCTTTCCTGGACGACAGTCCCTCTTTCCACCCTGGCCCTCCAGTTTAATCTCTACACAGCAGCCAGAGGGATCTTTTAAAAACATAAGTCATGCCCGGCAGGTGTGGCTCAGTGGTTGAGTATTGACCTATGAACCAGGAAGTTACGGCTTGATTCCCCTTCAGGGCACATGTCCAGGTTGTGGGCACGAATCTCAGTGTAGGCATGCAGGAGGCAGCTGACCAATGATTCTCTCTCATCACTGATGTTTCTATCTCTCTCTCCCTCTTCCTACCTTTCTGAAATCAATTAAAAAATATATTTCTAAAAGGTATATTGCTGTCCTGGCCGGGTGGCTCAGTTGGTTGGAGCATCATCCCGTAAACCAAAAGGATTGCAGATTCGATTCCTGGTTAGGGCACATACCTAGGTTGTGGGTTTGATCCTGACCTATTGATATTTCTCTTCTCTCTCTCTCTCTCTCAAATCAATAAACATATCTTTGGGTGAGAATTTTAAAAAAGTTCTGTTGCTTAGTTGCTTACAGCCAGCAAATTTGCTTATAGGAACTTAGGTTTCAGAAATGCCCAATGTGCAACAGCTCATTCACAAGGTTGTCACTGTGGCCACGCGTGTAGCAGTGAAGCTGGCGGAGGCCATGTGCATATTTGACGGTATGGGATGGGTTTGGTACATTATGCTGGTCAGACTATAATACTCAGTGATGGTGGTTCTGCATGTATGGCATGGAAGGCTGGGCAGAACATACTATTAAGCAGAATAAGTATGATCTCGTTTTTGTAGAGAAATTATACATAGTCATGTATCACATAACGACGGGGATATGTTCCAAGAAATACTTCATTAGGTGATTTCTGTCATGGTCGGAACATCTTAGGGTGCTTACACAAACGCAGGTGGCCTAGTCCGCCACACACCTAGGCTATGTAGCGCTTCCTGCTCCTAGGTTGCAAGCCTGCACAGCACATCACGGTGCAAAACAGCATGAGATTAAATGAACACCAGAGAGATTGATGCTGCGGTCATAGGGCTGATGACAGGCCGCCCAGGGCCTCGGGTTGGCACCCTGTTCCCATGCTGCTGGTGGCAGCGTCACCGCCAGGTGTCCTACGGGGATTTGCCATGCCAAGGCTTTTCGGTGCTGCTTGGAAGCTTGAGGCAGGATTGAAACGCTCTAACGCCCCGCAGAGCTTTCTCAGGGCTCTGGTGTGCCTGCCGCCTCGCTCCCGGACTCGGCTTTCAGCTTTCTGGCCTTTCCCGCCCTGTCAGGGCCTGGGAGGGCAAGTGGTTGGGCAAGACCTCGTGAGAATTCAGTTTGGCTCCCACAGGGCCTCAGCCAGGCTGGGGAGCAGCCCCGGAGGCAGGAGAGGGAGAGGGCCCGCCTCTGGTCTCCCCTGGCCATCTTCACCGAGTGCGAGGGCCCTTCCAGATGGCTGAGTGTTGAGGCCCAGTTTACAGATAAGATGGGGAAGCACAGGCCAAGCAAAGGCAGGGGCTCACACCAGGTCCCCGAGGAGGCCCGTAGAGGCAGGAGCAGAGGCAGGACTTGGCCCGGGGTTTCTGGACTCCTAGGCTTGGACTAT